ATTTTTAAGTTACTGAAGGAGTTCTTGAAGATTTTGATGGAAAGGTACTCTCATTAAAAATATCCAAATATTGGTAAATGATAGAAGAGATGCTGTAAGTAATGAAATTCAGGATCCAAAAATACTTACAATACGAACAAGCCAGGCCAATGTAGAAGTAGATGTAGAATAGTGGGTGTTGTAATGGTACGGTGGAGTCTGATCATCTTCCCAAGTCTCATAACGTTCTGCATAGAAGACTGCTCTCTTTGGGTTCAAAGCACCAATAGGCTGCAAAGGGATGAGAAACTGAATATATTACGAGCTGAAGGGCAGCAACGTCTTATGTATCGTAGGTTATTCTACATTAATATTCACTATATATGAAATTCTGCAACCAAGCAGAGAAAACTCATTCCAGGATGTAATAATCCTTTCAGGTTGCTGCAGTTTTGGAGTTTTATTTCAAAGGCTCTGTATACGAAAAGTCTTACGACTTTTCCTATTTTAATTGACAAATACAAGTGATCCACATCTGCAAAGTTTCAAGACCTTCTAGAAGTATGAGTTGTTTCCCAGTTAATTCAGTAACATTGTTCTGGAAATGGACCTTCTAAAACTGCATTTAAAATGCACTGAGGCCAAACTAATATTTCTGTTGCTGTCATTCACCATAATCACACAACTAATGAAAACCGACTTTTGCTCACACAGGATACTTTGTAATGCACAGTTCATGATGAAAAGATTTCACGTAGAACTGCCAACGGTGTCTGGTGATCCTAAGCAGAAATACTTAAAAATCATGCGCATAGTCCTGCAAGACAGAATCTACTTTCTGACCAACCAAAGTTACTTTTTACTGAAAAGCAAATAAGCTTTTTACTTAAAAAACAATAGAATATGGAAATTATTCACAGAGTCAAGGCTCTGTGTCAAGGCTCAAGAGTGTGCTTGACAGTCCATAAAAGTTAGGTAAAATCCCAAAAGGAATGTACGGCAGTAGTAGGAACTGTTCGTTTTGACATATTGTTTACAGGAGATATGTTTTTCTGTGATTATTTTACCCACCTTAGCATTTTCTGTAAAATGTATTTGTTATTATTGTGTGACATAAAAGGCACTGGGAAAAATAAAATACAATAGAAAGCAAAATGTTGAATAAGTGAATAAATGCAAGGCTATCTTAAGTCTGTTTTTCCAGATCAGATATTAGTGGCATATTTATCTATCATCAATCTGCAAACAATCTTGAAAGTTTAGCTCTTGTAGTAGAATTAATTCAACACATAAAGTTTAATATTTAGAGAACACATTTCCACACCAAAGAATTGTATAGCCTTTGCATTAAAAATAAAGTTAGAATTTCTATTATAAATGCACATTACTAAGGGAATTACAACTTGCAAATAAACACATTCTCCAGGACTTTGACCCTTTTCAGAACACTAACAAACAGGTATTCTCACATTTCATTCCAGAGCACAGTTTTCCAGCTGAGTTTAAATACACAGTCGTTTGTAATGGAAATACCAGTATAAGGTCAAATCAGTGTGTTTCACTACACTAGGTATGTAACTGAACATTTCAAAAGCTACAAATATTTATTCCCTCAGTACTTCTATCCTTATTGAGATGACTTTTAAAAAAGCTGACAGAGAACACGTTGTTTCCCAATTTTAAATACTGTAGCTTGTTTTTAAATAAGAGTATCTGATGAACAGTTACATTTTAAAATATTATTATTTCCACACTTTTCACTTGAAACAGTCTAGATGCTTAATACTTTGCTGTGTCATGGAGATGTTAATAGCTTTCTCATATGTGTAAAATGTATGAGTAATCCCTAAGGATCAGCCTTATCTGATGCAGATTGCACTGCAAGACCTCACGAAACATTCTTGAAAGAGAAGTATGAGCCATTCCCTAACACTTTCCAGGCTTGTTTCCCAACTACTGGAAAAATAGTAAAATAAATATTTGCATTTTTGATATGCTCAGTTTCATTACATATTCAGCCACTCTCAGAAAACACGCAGGCATTGTTACAGCCTGTGAGTTGCCAAAACATAAAAATCACTACTCAACCACTTTCTTGAAAGAGCAATTTCCTAAAAGACACACTTTTCTTATGGGATTGACAAACTGTGCAGATCTATGTGCACTTCACTGCACAATTTATATCAGTGTTCTGGGCTGCTCTGTGGACTGAATGGGACTTGCCAACACCACCCTTTTTGGGGTAGCATGCACCCACTTCTCCAACAGAAGAAATTCCAGTCTCCAAGTAAACATTTCAAAAGCTTAAGCAGTAACTCACATCAGAGTCTGTTAACAGGAAATGTTCACCCCCCACCCCGCGCCATAAGGAAACACGAAACAGCAGACAACTCAGTGCAATCGTATTTTGTAAGGGAAAAACACCCTGAGAATATTACTTCCCTCCAGTCGACACTGCACATATCCTATGCTGCAATAAGCTCTGAGGCTACGAATGATAAAGGTGTGATCTGTCATAACGTTATTGTAAATATATGTTTGAAGGGCTATGGTGACTAATGCAGGACTGCAAATCAAAACTCCAGGCATTTTAGTATATATTTGAAAGAGATCAGATGTTCCATCAAATAATCTGCAAGTTTTTTCCCTTCACTGTAAAATGGGAATAGTAACAAGAAGAACTGTGAAATTTAACTGATGCTTAAAAATAATTAAGAGATATTCTACTATATATTATTATTTTAATGATGACTTAACCTATTGTTTTAAATAACTTTTTTTTTTGCAAATTTATACATATAGTTGTATTTAATGCAAAAGATACTTTCTCTCTAGAACTTGATAATAATTTTCCAAAATCACACAAAACACTAATACACCACCATGTTTTCAAGATTCTTTGGGGAGAAGTGCTATTTCAATTTAACAGTCAGATAAAAGATATAAGGTTGTAACATTGTGCATTCCCATTTTCATGTAAAAGATGCAGGCACAACTAGCTAAAATAATCTACTTTCAGAAGACACGTGTTCAGTTTATTAAATGATTAACCTAAGAAGCTGTATTCTGAAGATTACCTTCATCCTCATCAATATTCTTTTCAGAGTCAGAATCCATTTTTCTTTCAATTACGTTAGGATTCATTTGAAGGGAAAATGCTGAAATGCACAAAATATCTGAAGAATAAAATGAATTCTTTAGGTAAAATTTCATGAGATTCACCTCTCCTCTTGCACGGTATGGAAATTTTCTTGTAAAAATCGCCAAGAAGAATCTTTTCTGGGAATTACTCTTCCTTGCTCCAGAGAGAAAGAAAAAAAGAAAGGAAGAGTGAGATGGAGCATGTCTCCAGGTAGAAAGTCTCCCCTTGACTTCTTTGGGCAGATCCTGGATTGGAAGCAGTATGGCTTCCAACGGCAGTATGGCAGATAGTAGCCTGGGATTCAGGAAACACAGGTTCACTTCCGTCATTCCAAAAAGATTTCTAGCATTTCCCAGGGAAACTGCTAAGGTATGACTATAGCATGCAAAGCAGAAGTGTGTTAGAAATCCGTGAGCTAGCTCTAGGATGGCCAGTGGGCAAACACAACACAACTGCAGAGATGGCAACCCAAATCTCAGACCAGTGCAGCCGTAAATATGTAGTGCTGCACAGGGATGGGAGCTGGGAGTTGCACTATGCTCATGCAGCTTTGCAACTGCTGGTTCAGAATTACATCGGTTAGCTTTGTCCTGCTGCAGGTAATACAAGGATCATCTGATCCCACTCTTCTCTTCTGCGCAGCTATGGAAGAGCCCCTGTGTGGACCACTTCTCCACACATTAATGGAAGGGACTTAAGTGCTCCCCATGCTGAATAAAATACACATTAAAAGTTATAACTGAAAGTGCTCAAATCTCTCTTTTTTTATTGTTAAGCATCTTCCTTAACAACATTAGTCAACTAATCAATTAAAAAATTAGCTTGTGTGTACAAAATGGAGAGACAATTTTTGGAAAAGAAAATTTCAGTAAATAAAATAGCAAGTATGAGGTAAATTCCAAGTCTGCCACTGGTATCCTTTGTGATATTTTTTTAAATGTCCATGTGGCAAAATGCTGTTCTTCAAGGGAACTGAAAATAGTTCATCCTTCAGCAAAGACATGTCTTTTCTGTAAAGACTTCAAACCTCAGGTGTAGAAACTAGCACCTAACTCGCTGCTTACTCTGATAAGGCATGCTTTCTGCTAGACGACAATTTCTACAGTGGTAGTAGCCTCTCACTTTTCCTGTCTGTGTGGACGAGACACTTCTGCTTCTATTCTTTTAAAGGATATAGGAAGTTTTGGTCCCTTTTCCATAGCCTTACAATGCCATTTTCTGTCTACAAAGTCAACTAATACAGTTTTAATCTGACACTATGGTTATAAAATTGACAAAACTTTCTGGATGTATCCCCATATTTTCATGTCATGGAAGAAGATAATTTTATCTCAATTTCAGTGAGATGCTACAGACACACAAACTAGTCAAAATGACTTGCACGAAAAACACAAAGGCAAACCTGAATCTGCCTGCTGAGTCTCAGTGCCGTGCCTTAACCATAAGACTAATACAGGAATTGAATTTGAGTCAAACAAATTGTTCTGAACCTTAAACAAAAAAGTTATTCCTATAAAGTTTTATAAAATTCACTTTCAAAACACATTATTTGCTTTTTTATTAAAACAACCTTTGTAAAGACTCTCATAGCAAATACTACTAATTATTCATAAAATGGTTTTATAACATATTCTTTCTTTTCTACAACCAAGTAAAACAACTCACTCTATGACAAACGCTATTCAACCATTTCACTTTTGATGTACTAAAGCTGTTGTTCGACTTTTGTTGCTTTTACCATTTAAAAATAAAATAATGTTAAAGTTAAGACTTAAAAACACTGCTATTCATGTCCTTCTTTTTTATCTGGCTAATTTCTTTAGACATCTGGCCTTTGAACCAGTGCATTGTCAATACATCTAGTGTTTATATCCACTGGACATGTTATGCTAGCTCTTGTAATATTTACCGTTTTGCCAGCTATCTTCATCAAACTCCATTCTCTCACGACAGCAGAACTGAATGTAGCATCCTATTTATCTGGCCACTGAAATACTGCTGCTTACCTTGACTCTAATTCATGCAGCAACTACCTTATCTGTTTATCTCTTTTTCTAATGTACTGCACAAAATTGTAGCTGTGTACAAAAGAAATCTTGTTCATGGGTTTATTTGGCTGTGCCTGAATACAAACTGAGGTTATAGTGACTGCTTGTTTTCTTATTTAAAAAAAACACACCCTAAGTAGGACACCTTAGTACAGTAATTTAAAGTTTAAAATAAATTCTAAAGTTATCCAAATATGTAAACAGCTTTTTGGTTGGCCTAGCCATCTCAACATTTTCAATTAGCATAACAGTTCTGGCAGATTCAAAGTACTAGAGTTTCATTCAATAAATTAACTTTTCATTTAAGAAAAGAAAATGTTAATTGCATGGCTTATACCAAAATATAATCAAACTCATTTTTATTCCTGACAGTACAGTTCCTTGTAGTAAAGAGAGAAGCTTAAGCTACAGCAACTGATTTCATTTTTCCAATGAGAGTGGTTCTTGTAAACCCATAAACTCCATTTCGCAGCGTACACATTTTTGGAAGTATTAAGTGTGGTTTGCCTTGAAATAGTCACACTTCAGTGCGTTCATTTGCATTATTACACTTAGAAGCCTTGGGGCTTTATCACTTCCTTTTTTTGAAATGGCACAGTAAAAAGGAAAAGTGGTTATGCTTATCATCACCCGTCAGTCAAACACCTTCTATATTAACAAAATATAATTTTTTCCACTCAATGAATGGGCGTGTGATGTCTCATACACATGTCAATATTAGTATTACTTTGCCTGGTGAAGAAATCATTTTATTTAACAGGATGTATGACTGGAAGCAAATGAGAAGACATTCCCATTTACACCTTAATAAGCAGGGACAATGCAGCATGGTCAAATCCATGCATTCACTATAAGGAATAAAAGTCATACAATTTTTGCACAAAAAAAATATACTACATTTTAAGTGCTTTGCTTGGAAACAAAACGCCCCAAAACTCAGCGTGCATTAAGACCTGCACACACATTTCCCACATTAATACTCACTACCAGAGGTATTCTTCCAAAGGAAATCTCAATAAAGAAGAAAATAAACAGATCACCTGGTGGTTGGATAGTGAAAAGATAATCTATGTATCTATGACAGCCTCTTTCATTAGCTTTTCATCCTGTCAAACAATAAATATAACCTTTAACCTTGTATATGTAATGAATAAAACTTGAGCCCACACTGTCTAATCAAATGAGAGGTCCAATCTATCCTACTGATACAGCACCTTCAATGGCCATGTGTCTTGTTTATAAATCTCAAAATATAAGTAAAAGGAAAAAAAAAAAGCACTGAAAGGGGAATTTCCAATTACTTCAATGGAAAAGGGTATGGATATTTTTAGACTAATATTTAAATATTATTTAAATATAAGTGACTTCAGATGCAAAGTTACACAATAAAGAGTGTTACATACAAATAGAATAAAATGGAACAGAGGAAAAGGACATGCCACAGTTCAAGCCTGCTTTACCGAAATGGAAATATTTAAGTATGAGCTAAATGCAAAAGTTACATTATTTACTCTTTCACTTATATGGTAAGCAAACCAAACACATCTAATTCAATTTCCACAAAACATATGAATTAATGTATGTTCACCTAGTAGTCATGATATCACAAAGGTGATATGCAGTATTTTATACAGAAAGCCTGAGAATTAAAGGTTAAAATAATTTTAAATGAAGTACAGTCAATTATCATAAATTACACTGGAGCTTTGTGTGAGCTTTGTGTCATAATACACGAATTCTTCTGAAAGAAGTTAGATTTAGGATACATACAACTACCAAAGCTGTTTTAAAGCAACAAAACAAAGAAGGATAGGTGGCTCACTTTTAATTTCATTGCTTTTGTGGGCTTTTACCACATATGCAATAGTGTTAGACTTCTAACTTGTTTCAAAAGAGGAGCAGTATTAATTACAAAATATTCAGGACGGAGACTTCCGTGAATGCTAAGAAGCGCAAACCTGCGGGAAGATAGAAGGTCAGCAACTCACAAAGAGATTTGATCCATCAACAGCTTAGCTGGAGATCGTGATTTGCCATCAAATCTGCAGGAACACTTCTCCATTGCACGGTAAAATCTGACAGAAGGAAATAGCTCCTCATGGAAAAGACACCGTGCGTGCCTGCCCCAGAGTCTGACGGAGGCTGATGGCACTTCGAGTTTCAATAATGTGACTAATAAATCACCAACCAGTTTTTATTCTGCCTACTCAGGGTTCGCTTCCCTAACAAGGAAAGAAAGGGCTTACTTAGAGATACTTGGCAATAAGGAAAACTGAAACAAAACTGCCAAGGAAATACTTCAGGTAAGACCCAGCTATGAAGATTTCTGCTGATAATGCACATAGGAAAACAAGACGCAAAAAATGCATGAGAGTCATGGGGCACAGAAGTACGACATTCCATATTAACCGGCCACTATCTTTTACAAAAAATTATTAACCTATTTTTCCTTTTAAACCCACTGTGAAAAGAAATCACAGAAGCTGCTAGCAGATGTTATTACAATAAACAGTGAGAAAATTTTACAATTACACTCCTTTGATTCTGAAGGATCCCAAAACATTTACAGTTTTCAAATGTAATCTTTCACATACATCCGTGGGATAAATGCAGCCTAGACCTTGCCGGCAAGGAATAACCATTCTGCTTAACTAGCTATGTCTAGATTCTTTTCGAGTGCTCCGCACCTCCAGCTTTTCCAGTGGCAACCACTGGTAGCTTCAGAATAAGAGAATTCAGTTATCCAAACTGGGTAGCAAAAGGTTCAGGCAAAATACTGCTGTGCACCGTGCATGGATTCTTGAAGAAATATAAATAATCAGGGACTTGAGTTTGCCTTTCTTTTCAAAGAAGGGCACGACAAGGAGTGCAGTGAAACTTAATAAACTATACAAGCACTAATTCCATAATGAGTTCTTACTAACTCCTAAGGAAAAATAATCAACTCAGCTATCACACCACTTCCTGCAGCAACTGAATACTTTAATAGGCTGCCATAAAAATTTGAAGTCAACCAAAACTAACTACCTAATGAAGGACTCATGAGACATAGACTAATCCTTTTGCACTTCAGTACACATACTGCTACTAATACTAGAAAGAAGCAAATTTTACAGATTTAAAGTTTAAGGGTCTTGAAATGTCTATCACTATAATTATGCTAAAACAAGTTGTTTTTTTTTACATGCTAGGGAAGAAGCTGGTGCATGACTGCTCCTGATTTTTATTTAACTCATTTTTGTAGATTTTCTTTTATTGTTCCTGGTACAGATTACAATAATGTTATACAACTGAAAAACACATTTATAAAGCATAGCTATAATATTATGAAATATTATACAGCATAAGTAGTCTCAACAATTTGTTTAAGTCTAAGGCATACTGTCAATGTAGTTTAATTTCTGGTTTTATGTTTTTTGCTTTTTTTTTTTAAGAAAACAGGGAGAAGAAACTTAGATCTCTCCATCAGCTATTATGCAATCAAATACTACTGTACTACTCAACTTATTCTGGAAGTCTCACAAAAGCAGGCCTTCAGGGATGGTTACATCTAGAGGTATGGTAGGCATTGTCTTTCCAACAAGGATGTAATGAGGCTCTAAAATATCTAGGGCAGGATCTCACATTTGCTGCATAAAATATGTGTGAGCAGGAAGTGGAGGAAAGAAAATCAGACTTAAAGACAGAAGCACTGGGAAAGTCTCACCCCTGACCAGCAGCAGAAAGGAAAGTAGGGGCTGCAGCGAGGGCCTTGGGGTCATTTTATCCTCTCCAGCCTCATTCCTAACATCTGAGAGCAACAGCCTCCCGCAGTTTTGTGCTTCACTCAACTTATATGAGGAGCTTCTCTCTCCGGGCTAGTAGGAACTGTTGCAAGGATGCAAGGAAGCTGTCGTTCCTGGAGAACAGAAACCTAAAGCTGGGGATGGTGCAAGGCCACCAGCCTTCACCGGTAGGAAACATTCTTGGTTGATAGGAGCCAGGACAGATGCTTTCCACAGCTCAGGTTCAGACCCTGCTCCCTCTCTTTATTCCAGCTGGTGGAAAGCAGAGCCTCCCAGGTGCTTCTGCCCTGCTCAGGGTGGCCACACTTTCTTCCCAGTCTACTGGCAGAATTCACTGTCAGATCTGGGTGTAGATCACAGTCTGATGCTATCAGATACCCAAATATCAGGAATTGTATCATTATAAAGTACTAACTTCCCAAGTTTGGTTGGAGGACAAAAAACACATATAGCGACAGGGATCAGTTACTCCAGGGCCCAAAATACACAAATGCTTGTTTATGGAATAATTATTAAACCAGTAGCAGGTGCTGCTACTATACTGAGAGATTACTGGACAAGTCACTGCAAAATAAAGTGAAAAATTAGTTTGAGCTTTTTATTTCCAAAGGATCAACTTTCATAAACCAAGGGAGTTAATTAGTAAGATCAAGTGGTCTGAAGCACTCATGATCTGTAAGTTAGAAGGTACCGACAAGTTACAGTTTTGAGATCAGTCAGGAACATGAAAAAAGAGTGATTTAGAGAGTGAGTATAAAATAATTCTAAAATAGAAAAGTGTAATTCAGATGTTTGTGACTTAAGATAAACACCCACTTATTAACCAAACTAAAAATGCAAAATAAAATCTGTGTAAAAGGATCAGCTAAAAAGCCTTAACAGTTAAAAATCTGTTAAAAGTCTGTTAAATTATTGTTAAAAAGGCTAGTTAACTTTAATAGAATTGAACCATACCTTTGAAAGATCCCTGAAGTTGCCTGGAAGGGTCAGGTCTAACTCTTCAGATTCATAATTTGTTAAAACCCACGGAAACACAGGGTATTGATTCAGATCATTGTATGTTCGCCCTATTGAGGAAA